TCACATGTTTCAATGTCAAAACTTTCTTAAAACAACTGCAATAAAGACAAGTAACAGATGCATAATATATAGACATGTAACATGTGCATAATGATGTGCAATGGAAATTCATATGAATTAATCCTCTGCTTAAAGTTACCTGTCTTTCCTGCATCTCTGTGATCAGCTCCCTTCAGAAATTTAGGAATCTTGTGTTATATTTTCTGTAGCAGGAGGTTATTCTCTCACTCCTGAAACCACAGAACACTTTTTTACTTAACATTTAGTTTAAGATACCATGAAATATCAAAACACGATTGAACTTTTGATTCACGGTCCTTTACAGTAACGTTACAATGCGTATTTTAGACTACATATGGAGTGCATTCAATAAAACATTGACAAAACCTCTCATCTACACATAAAGAATAAATAAAAGCCAAAACTTTAACAAACAAGTTTAACAAGAGCTAACATTAAGTAAGTTAACGTAATATTACCCCGACGCTAACGTTACCAGTGCTAATATGCTAACGGACTTTTACGAAGACTTACCACTCTTATATAACATAATATTCAACTGAATATTCATCAATTGCCAATAATAAATGTGTGAGGAACAGTTTTATGTAGTATTTGCTTTGTTTTAGGGACTAAACTTACCTGAAAACAGTCAAAACGGCAGCTTGAGAGAAGTCGTGTTGTGTCTTTTAGGTGGTGTCGTGTCGTGTTGTAGCTTCGTTTCCCATAGCAACATCCTCTCCGCTCCAGTGTTGGAAGCAAGACGCGCGCGCGCACATTAAAGTCTTGCAGTATTGCATTTATAAACATGATCACTTCATAGACAATTTAAATAATAACCTTGTATTTTAAATCTTGAATTTAAAATGTATTTAGCAGTTTTATATACGCTATTATCTTTAAGACGAGCTTTATAGCCTACTAAACTGTTACAAAACAAACACTTTATTTGTGCATTCACTGTCAAAAATAAATAACCAATAAATATAAATGCAAGTATATATAAAACAAAGATGTCACTCGGTAAAAAGGTGTTTATTTTAATTAAACAGCCGAAGTAAAGAACATACTTGATTTTTACACTGGGAAAAATGTATTAGAAAAAGCCACAATAAAAAAAAGCAAACAGCAGTTAACACCAGAAAAAAAACAACGTTTTCATTATTAAAGCATAACAATAAAACTTTTTATATTTTAATGAACTGAAATCATGTATTGTAGGCATTTTGGTCAGTTTTACTGCATTAATGTAGGCTATTTAAAGCTGGACCGACCGACGCAGTTCACATGATGCATGTCGCGTTTGTCTAATTTATTATGCACGCAAAAACTTACTTGTAAACCAAATATGTTGCCGGATTCTTTCATGGGCATGAGAGATCAAGTGCTTATGAAGTGCTTCGTCGGCCTCTGGTCGTTAACCGACGCAGAGCCGACGTTTGTCTAGCTGGAACAATAGAACACACGACCGAACGATCATGCGTATGTTTGGCCGACCATATACCGATGTTAAAATTAAAGGGGCCGACGTGTTGACCTTCGGCCGACGTCGGCCCAACGTATGTGTGCTGTCTGGGGAGCGCTCTCTGTGTGGCGGCTGACATTACCGTAATGATAATAATACGCGCGCACCGAAAAATAAAGCGCGGCTGGCTTGACTGTGTTTTTCCGAACCGCGGCTGGCTTGACCGCAGTTACAGTTCGCCCTCCGACACGGTCTGCAGAAAATAAGAAAACAAGAAAAACGTAATGCATATGTATGTCTCGTATAACACTGCAGACAATTTATATTTTGTATAGACTAAACGAAAAACAAAACTTAGCACGCACCCCTGGCCTCCAGCACGAGCACACTGAGCCGCGGGTTTCTCTTCTGCAGCCGCCGAGCAGCGCTCAGTCCGGACAGGCCCGCGCCGACGACAACCACATCAAACTGATCCTCACTCATTCCTGCAAGCTGCGAGCAAACCGAGAGAACTGTGGTGCACGGGCAGATAAAACAACTCAAATACCCTACAGAAAAACTGCAGAGTCACAAAGGGGGAAAGTCCTGTTTTATAGTGCACACTTGTTGCGTTTCTTGTGAATGTACTTGGCACTTCGCCCTGATAAAGCAGGCTGACCGCTGATTGTTGTCTGCTCTGGGACCCCGGAAGAATTTCTCAGACTTCCCACTTGAGTTAATCGGAATTTTCTCACGGTTTGGACTGCTTTTTTATATAATAACCACAAAAATTGATACTTGAATGACTTTAAAAAACAGATTTGATTGGACTTGTCTGCAATATTAAAGGACAAATGTAAACAAAATGTTTACACTGTTACACCTATTTTAAAAGTTTAGCAAATATAGGCTTAGTGACCTTGCAACTCAATCCTTGTAGATTGTATAATGGGAATTGCATTTGTTTTCATGAAAACTGCATGCATGGGCTTCTAGTAGAAATGAAAATGAAATATGTGTCCAGACAAAACATTCAAATGTTCTGGTTTTATTGGTTAACATTTGGTATATGTAATGAAAACTATTTAAACTTTTATTTACTAGCAGGGATGTCACACCTATTCACTTTGGTTCATTTCTCAAATCATTCATACTATTTTTACATCAAAAATTTGTTCTTGAAGTAAGCAAACAGCAAAACTTATTTGAAATCAGTTCATTTCTCAAACTAGGCTAGTACATATGCTCATAGGATGTACGAGTACTGTACCAGTTCTTTCTACAAATTATCTGCATGATTAAGGACATTTAGTCCCATCATTTGACTATTTGCTCATATACAACACAATGCCATAAGAACATTATTCATGGTTTCTGCCTCTTTACATTTTGCCTCTTTACACTTTATAATTAAATAATTTTTTAAAAATCTTTAACGCATTCCCTTGGTTTAAACATAAACACAAATTTTGTTTTTAAAAGCTGTTTTCTTTATATTAAAAAGTGAATGTACAATAAATGTAAATGTTATTTAAGCCAAAGGTTTCAAAGAATTGCATTTTTACAGTTTACCTTCCCAGCAGGCACCTTGATGTCAAAACAATAAATTTGATTTTGATGTCAGTTGACTAAATTGATGTTGTAACAACATCATATTGACACCTAACATTGGCATCAAAAACATATGAACAATTGATTGAGAGGGGTCTGGATGCAGACCTGGTGCAGATGCAATCTGAGTTGCATGCAATGCTTTTCAATGGACTTACCCTACTCACCCCTAACCCTGATGTCACTAAAGCTCTATTGAGTGCATTGTGTCTGACATCTCAGCTTGCACCATCAAGGCTGCATACTATTAAATTGATTAAAGGATCGTCCTGTAATCAATTTTTGATACCAACACTAGCTGTCAATTTATTGTCCTATGACAACAAGGTAATTTACATGCATTGTAGGGATACAAAATCAAAATACTTGTCTTTACTTTGGTGATCATCAAATGGAGGTCAAGGTTTTGACGTCAGATCGATTTGCATTTTTACATGTTTTTGACGACAATGTGAATATGATGTCATTTTGACAATAAGATGACTGCTGGGATTTCTTTCCCAAGGGATTTTTTTTCCTGAACTGCATAATTATAATTCCCATATGGTAACCATCACCACAACCTTATCGCATGTGAGTGGTTACAAGTCTCTTTCATGATCTTATATTCTCTGTTTTATTCATGCTAACAGTTCTCATCATAATCATCAAATAAAGCATGGACAATTCCTACACAGTAGATAAGGTTGCAGCATCCTATTCAAGATTACAATGACAGCCACACTCTTTATTGTAAAGAGGCCACCTTTAGACGTGCAGTATGTTAACCTTGAATACTTTGCGAATTTAAGAGAGATCCTTTGTTTGCTTTGAATACACACAAATGCATTGAACAGTTGAAATAGTGAAGCGCTTCAATGATGTATTATTCAGTCCTTTGTTTTGTTTTTTTCTGAGTGGTGTAACCAGTTGTCACCTGAGACTAGTCTCCATGGACCACATCACCATGGTACCACCTTCACTTGATACCAGAAGTGACTTGTTGTCTCACAGTGAAGCCATTCAGATGGTGAAGACTAAACCTAAGAGATGAACGGGCCCTCCATCTGTAAGTTTCTATTTATATTGTTATATTGTATTTTATCTCTGTTTTTATGGCCTATTTTCTAGCACAGATAAACATTCACATAGAGGAACCAGTTGTTCCGGTCGATCAGCATAAAAAGCTGCAAAAATGTTTCTTGGTGTGTTGTATAAACATGGGGCTGGATAGATTTTGTTGAACAATGAGGTTGCAGGCTTTTAAAATAGCGTAGGAGGAAGAATTGAGTGTGTTACTGAAAGAAAAACAACTCAAATGTGTTTATCTCTCACAGTGAGGCAGTAGACATTTTGCTTTGTGATTGAGAAGGAAATTGGGTATTTTTTTTTACTTTTTAGTGGGGTATTTAGTTGTTATATTTTTATGGGGACAAATTGTGGTTTTAGTCAGGCATAACTGTGACTGAAGATGTCAAAATCAAAAGGATTAATGGTGAGATTCAGTTAAAATCAAAGTCAAAATCTAATAGTATTATATAATAATGTTAAAAAGATAATATTAACACTTATTGTTTTATTTCATATTTCATAAATATTTTGACTTTTTATGTGAAAATTAATTATATATAATTTTAGACTTATTTTATAAGAATTTTTTTAAACATGAAATATTAATATTTACTAATATTATTTTGGGGTAATTTCTATCTAATATCATTTTAATCAAAACCAAGGCTTTTCTAATAATCTTTACTTTTACTGCTTAATTTTCACTTTTTACATTTTAATTAGAACTTATTATTTAATCACTTTCTTTACTTGCTTTACTCTTTTTTTCTCTTAGTTATGAATCAATGAATGAATAATTGAGAACAATGCATTTTGAAAATTAATATTTTAACCAATTTCTTAGTAAATATAGGCAATGTATGGTGCATTTAAACTAAATATATTTATTAACATATATATTTATTAAAATAATATTTTAGTCACCAAACATATTTAAAAAAATAAGGATTTTACAATTAAATTTTTGCTAAATATTGCAAAAAATAAAAAATAAATAAAAAATTGCAACCTACAAAATTTGTCCTCTTTTTTTTTTTAATTTGTATTTAAGATTTTTCTATATGTTATAAAATATAGAGTAATAATATGTTTGGGTGCACTAGTTTTTTTACCATCATCATGAGTTATTTTGTTATATTAGCTCCAGATTTGGCTGTGAGTGGTGTACTTGTATATGCTGAGCACTGTAAAAATAAAGGGATAAAATGTTGACCTTAAAATGGTGTTTTAAAAAAATTAAAAACTGCTTTTATTCTAGCCTAAATAAAACAAATAAGACTTTCTCCAAAGTAAAAATATTATCAGTGCAAAATTTCTTGCTCTGTTAAACATCATTTGAGAAATATTTAAAAAAGAAAAAAAAATTAAAGGGGGGCTTATAATTCTGACTTCAACTTATACAGTTAGTATACCTTTAAATTTATTTTCTTTTAACTCATTTAAACCATTTAAACTAATCATTTAATACATTTATTTTAACATTCTACTTAATTTACTAAACAAAATTAAAAATAACCTAAAAATGTAATGTATATCCATTCATGTATATTTGAATATATCCATTCCAATTTCTTTTTTCGTTTTTAAATATTTTCCAAATGATGTTTAACAGATCAAAGAAATTTTCAAAGCATGTCTGATTTCTTCTGGAGAAAGGCTTATTTGTTTTATTTTGGCTAGAATAAAAGCAGTTTTTAATTTCTTAAACACCATTTTAGGGACAAAATTATTAGCCCCTTTAAGCTAAAAGTTTTCTTGATAACAGAACAAATCACTTTTATACAATGACTTGCCTAATTACCCTAACCTGCCTAGTTAACCTAATTAACCTAGTTAAGTCTTTAAATGTCACTTTAAGCTGTATAGAAGTGTCTTGAAAAATATCTAGTAAAATATTATTTACTGTCGTTATGGCAAAGATAAAATAAATAATTTATTAGAAACGAGTTATTAAAACTATTATGTTTAGAAAGGTGTTGAAAAAAATCTCTCCATTAAACAGAAATTGGGGAAAAATAAACAGGGGGGCTAATAATTTAGGAGGGCTAATAATTCTGACTTCAACTGTATATCACTATTGAAGCATTAAATAAAAACATTTTCAACTATTTATTTATTAAGTATTACTTTAATCGTGAATCAAAAAAGAAGCATTCAAAGGAATCAAAAATAACATGTCTGTCCTTTTTTCAGTCTCTTTTCATTTCCAGGCTTAAGCGTGTTTCTTCAAGACTTCAATCTGCTGAATGGGAGAAAGTGGCACAAAAAGCCCTGTCCAAACATGAATGTACAAAATCGCTGCTGCAACAAAAGGTACTGAAAGTTCAAAATATGGTCCTCAGCAAGACACGCTCATTATCTTCCTCACAGTCACTTTCAGTCGCACTCCTTTTCTCTCTTTACTTTCATCTTTCACAGATGTCGAAAATGGCCTTGCGTTACACGAACAAGTTTGTCCCCGTCGTCCTCATTTATGATATTGACTGTGTTCATCCTGTTTCTCAAAGCAAGTAAGTTTCTTAGTAAAAAATAAACCTTGATGTACTTTGAAACTTTTTTAGATAAGCCAGGTTTACGCTGCACATTCTGCTAAAGTTTCCTCAATTATTCCTGAAACTTTTTCCTTCATCCAAGTCATGGATGTACGCTCTGTATATGATGGGATTTGTTGAATCTAAATCCAGTTATTAGTCATTTGGAGAGTTTCAATTTAAGGGCTTGTGAATCATTCATGAGTCCATGAAAGCAAGGAAAATGAGGGATTTTGGAATTACAGGCTAATTGAAATACTCATCTGGACAACATGCTGTTGAAATAAAAGCTGAATGACCTAGAAAAAACAGTCTTTCCGATGATAAGAGTTTATGTCATCTCAGCCTGGCTTTAAGATTCAATTTCACAGTTGAAGACAAGTTTTGTTTCGTCTTAATTAATTTAATGACTTAATGAAGATGTCTGTATTCTGAAAAATGAAAGAGTTAGCATTTTCAAAATAAACAGCAAAAATCAGTCTGAGGGCACCCGGAAAATGTGGAAAAAGTATTAAAAAGCTTTTAGTCACATGGTAAATCTTTAAAAAAAACCTACGTGTTTTGGCAGAGAGCTGCCTTCATCAGGGTAACAGTGATCAGTTGCCTGGAGTTTTTTTTTGAAGGCTACAATCTCTTGATTCATTAGAATATCTAAACAATACTAAAATAATATATTAAATAAGGTCAACTCAACAATCATCATTAATTCCGCATTAATAAAGGGGAGAAAAAAGGAAACAAACAAACTATATGGTAGAAAAAATATATGTGTATATATATATATATATATATATATATATATATATACTAGGGATGTAACGGTATTGTAAATACCGTCATACCGCAATATTATTTTTTTTCGATATTACCGAAGTCGCATGACTCGGTAAAACTATAGGTCTTCTGAGAAAATTTGCTCAGGCGAATGAAGCGAACGGGAGGTAGCGAAAACTACAATTGCCATCAGCCCATGCTTGACCATCATCCCTTGCGGTCTGTTGTCGCTACAGATCCAGTAATGCGAAAATGGAGTGTGCTGCTAGAAGCGGGGATGAAAAGAGCTGGAAAACTCTAAAGCAGGTCGCACACCAGAAGCGGCGCTCGGCGGCGCCACGCAGCGCCATGTATTTTAGAATTCTAAACATAGGTTTCTATCAGGATACACACACCGGCGCCGCAAGTCGGCGGCTGTCGGCGGCTGTCGGCGGCGCCCGGCGACGGCTCAGGACGCAGTTCATTTTTCAGCCGCACCACAGAGCGCCATCTGATTAGTTTCATGTTAAATATCATTCGAATGTGCGCGTCTGGTGTGTGATACTTATAAACTGTCATGTACATCTGAAAACGGAAGCGGGGCTGCAGACATTCGCCTCTCTGATTGGGGCTTTTCCTGAATATTAAGTAGCCTAACACGCACAGTTCAGTCCTGCATTATCTCCGTGTAAGTTCAGACTTCGCAAGTTTGATCAAGGCTGCAGTCTCTTCTTTTCAGTTTGATATGGAAAAGCAGATTATACCGAGGACACGGGTAAATCTTCAAAGGGAACAGTGTACTTTATAACTTCATTCACATCACCCTGGCTTCGTTGTTTCACTTTCTCAACAATAAAATGTAAACATGATTTAAGGAACTGCCTATTTTCATTTTAATATTAGCAACTTAGACAGCAGACATGTTGAGGCGTCGTGCTGCATAAGATGAGCGTCATCTTCACTGTGTGGATATTTATAACAAAACGGAGCCGATAAAAACACTGCCTCCTTTCAATTTCAGTGAAAATACGAAACACAGCCTCTCTTTTGCTGAGTATCAGTTTTAAGAATCAATAATGGCCATTTTAAAAGTATAACATACAATAAGTTTATACATTATAGGAAATAAAGGCAAGCGATGAGTCAATATACAGAATGTACGTGGTTACATTAATCATTAACTTATCTTTGCGCTCAGCCAAAACACGTTACCTGAGAACAAGTAATAGATTCCAATGCCCAAAGTCAGGGAATATGTCGTTAGATAAAGACAAGATAAATGAAATATCCCGTTTAATAAATATAGTGAGATTAGATCCAGCGGGAGATGCTTGATGAGAAGTCCGACTAGCAGAGCTCTCATCTGTGTAGATGGGCTGAGTGTGATTAAATGTTGAATGTGATGAGTTTTCAACAATACTAAATTGAAACTTTATTTTTTTACATGGTTTAATAATTTTTTGTTATTAAAATTGAAGTTCCTGTTTCAAAAGCTTACAGATAGATGGCTAATTTGTATGTCATTGACACTTTTGGCACTTTTTTGGAGTATTTTCATAAGTTTTGTTTTTTCCTGTAAATGATTCAATAAATACCGTACCGTGACATTCATACCGAGGTATTACCGTACCGTGAAATTCTGATACCGTTACATCCCTAATATATACATAAATACAGTTGAAGTCAGAATTATTAGCCTCCCTGAATTATTAGCCCCGTTTTCTGTTTAACAGAGAGATATTTTGCAACACATCTCTAAACATGATAGTTTTAATAACTCATTTCTAATAACTGATTTATTTTATCTTTGCCATGATGACAGTAAATAATATTTGATTAGATATTGTTTAAGACACTTCTATACAGCTTAAAGTGACATTTAAATGCTTAACTAGGTTAATTATGTTAACTAGGCTGGTCGGGTAATTAGGCAAGTCATTGTATAATGATGAAGAAAAAAGAAAATCAAACCTAAAGAGTCTAAAACCCTTATGTATTAAAAACTACTTTCTTCCGCCATTCATACACATCTGCAGCTGACGTCAGAACAGAAAAAGCCGTTACTAATTCACCAATGTCACTTTAGAGCTAGTATTTGAAGGATTCTCTGTAGCGTAATGTGAAGCGGTGCTTTTGGTGTGTGACCCTCTTAAGGGGAAGACAAAACAGCAAATTTTGCTCACATTTTAAATTTATAAGGCTAAACTTGACATAAAATGCCATCCGTCTACAGGAATTCTCACCAGACTGCTGTTGTGTTTGCGATAAGGAGGGACAAGGCTGAATCCAGCTTCTTATTCGCAGCTTCTTATTGACTCTATCCAATCCACCTTAAAACCACGAGGCTTGTTTTTCACCCTTTTAATTCGCGCTCAAGAGAACACACTGAGCAAGGGCTTATTATGCGGTTCTGGCGCCATCTTGTGAATAGACAAAAGCAGGTCACACACCAGAAGCGCCGCTCGACGGCGCCCCGCAGCGCCACGCAGCGCCATGCATTTTGGAATTCTAAACATAGGTTTCTATCACGATACACACACCGGCGCAGTTCATTTTTCAGCCGGGCCACAGAGCGCCATCTGATTAGTTTCATGTTAAATATCATTCGAAT